TTGCTTTATTTTTTTTTATCTTGTAATTAAATGAAACCTTGTTAGTAGAATCTATTGAATTTTTATATAAAAAAAGAATTGCCAGCTCTGTATGAACATTATTTGTTTACACTAAAAAAAAAAAAATCAGTATGGCAAACTGAACACTTATCCAGTGAAAAACTACTAAGCCAATAGTAATCACTGCAATTGAAGCAAAAGAAGGGGATGAAAATAAAGTCAAATTTCATTGACGACATTGTTGAAAGCAGGTGGTGATTAGCGTCTTTTCTGGACGAACAATCCGGGGATTAGGTATTGCATTTCTTGAAATTTGTGTTTGAAAAGTGTTTAATAACCCATGTGAAGAGATCTTTACCCTGATCCCATTTAGGTCAAGCTTTCAAAATTATATTCGCGATGCATCAATGCCTTCTATTTTCTCACAAGGCATCTGGTCACGGGGGGTTCTCCAATGCCCTGAAAGAAGAAAAGGAAGCCTTTTTTCCGAAACAGCTGTATAATTTTCCAAGATGATTTCATGAGTTTTCACAATATACGTGACGTTTTCGAAAAGAAAACCCAACAACATACCAAACACTAGACGAAAAGCATGGTTGAACCATGGCTGATGACCAAGTCAAGCACCAGAACATCTTCTTGATCATTTAACAACGATGCTTTTAGGTTTTTCTCAGAATATAATAGAAAGTAGAAAAACCCACGAAGAAGGGTAAGGAGACTAATGTTAACGAGGCAATAACTGTGATATTGTATCCCTCATTAATTAGTTATGGCGACCAAAAACTTAACAAGCAGGGCCATTTTGACTGGCTCAAAGGTTTCAATTGCTTGAGTCACATGGTCGGCTCGATCGGTCCCTGATGGCAGCAGGCACTAGGTATTCAATTCGTTGTTAAACTCTTGCTCAGAGAAGGGGTTCACGTCTAGCATGCATTCAGACAACCTCATGGAGACCAAGTCTTCGGCAAGCTACCTGCATGGCCTGATTTTAAGGTGGGTGGTCCTCGTTGACTTGGGAAAATTATGCGCGCGAGGAAATTAAAAGGAAGATACATAGCAAGTGGAAATGAAAAGGGCACAATTTCTTTTGGCAAATCAACTTGTCGCATAGACAATGCAACGAAGGTGTAAGTTCTGAAAATGAAAGGGTTCCATAGTCGGTCAGATTCCTGTGTTTCTCGACAAGGGCATTTCCAAGAAAGTGCCATGATACCAACCAAATAATAACCCTTTGAATTTGTGATTTTCCCGTCTTTCTCCGTAAGTTTGCACTAGAGATTTAAATATATAAAAATAAAGAGTTCTAATTCAGGAAAATAGCATCGGTGACTTATTTACAGTGGGAGTTTACTAGCCTTCACTTTGGTTACTTTTTAAAAATGTTATTTTAATAAAAAAATTATTTTAATATATTTTTAAAACGAAAGCATTTTTACCTTAATGTTAACTTAGCTTTGGATGCTGAAAGAATCTCAATTGTGCTATTAAGATGCATGGAGGTTTTAGATTCCTTATTATACTGTTCAATTACCTTCTTTTATTTCAAAATATAATGCGGCTGCGTATAGAACATAAGGAACCATTGGCATACATACACCAGAAAAGGATTGGACTTGTCAACTTACACCAATACCATTCTAGGAAAAAATTAGTAGATTAGCAGCAGTGGTGACTAATAATGATTGAATAATTTTGAGTTTTAAATTTTTAGTCCAGTTACAATTTCAAATTAAGACATGATCCTGTTGAACAGTAGTTTGGCAGGACTTTATTAAGGAATGCTAATCGTTTTATTAAGTTCAAAGGGGAAGGGAAGCCCAGGAATGCAAAATCAAAGTTTCCAACTTGAAGGGCGTAAAGAGAGCAGACGAAAGGTCAAAAAGATGGAGCACGGCACCACCTCCTACAATACCAGACGCAACTTTCTGTGAGTAAAGAAAGGGACAGTCTTTTGGTATTGTAGCGTAAAGAGATTTTGGGCCGCATTTGTTTGCTTAAATTTGAAAGTCTTAATGTTAAAAATTCAGACCCTAGTATCGTCGTCTACTTCTTCTGTTCTTCTCCAAAAGTCCAAGCCGCCAGTCTTTCAATTCTGATTTACCATTCTTATCGAACACATTTCCTCTTACTCTCCTTAGTCTGCTTTTATACACGCATTCATTCATGGCCACAACAAAACAAAGAAACCCTGTTTGAGTTTTGAAGCGTTCTTTCACTATTTCTCTTGTAATTCTCAACTGGGTTTGCTCCTCTGCTCATCTTCAGTCATAAAGTTTTAGTCTTTGGTGTTACATTTTGTTATCCGCCATGGGAAGATTAGATGACTCAGCAACAGTTGAAATAGCAGGCAAGATTATGATTATAGCAATTATAGTTCTATTCTTGGTGGTGGTTTTTGTTATCTTTCTTCATCTTTATGCAAAATGGTTTTGGTGGCGCGTTGAAGAGCCCAGTCAACCTCAACAATCTCGCCGCCGCCAACGCCGCCGCTTTGTCTTTACCCCTGGTCAAGACCCAGTGAGAAGAGGGCTAGACCTCTCTATACGAAGATCCTTACCAGTAGTGGTTTTCCAGTCTAAAGATTTCCCGGATGGACTAGAATGTGCTGTTTGCTTATCTGATGTTGTAGAGGGAGAACAGGCCAGGTTGTTGCCTAAATGCAACCATGGATTCCATCATGATTGTATTGACATGTGGTTCCAGTCTCATTCTACTTGTCCTCTCTGTAGAAGCTCAGTAGCACCAGAAACTCAAGGCTCTGGTGGTAACAATAACCTCGGTGATTTGGAGCTGAATATTCAGTCTCCAGAGGAAGTTTTGATTTCTGGGTATTCAATGGAATCTCCAGATTTTCCTACGAACGTGTTGTTTTGGGGGGATCAGACTCAAGTAAGCACTGGTGGTGGTTCCTTGGAAGAAGGACCTTCTTCAGCTTCTTCTGCACCATCATCATCATCTTCAGCTGGTGGGGGGCGTGATGACTCGCTTGTTATTGATGTTCCTGTGCATATTACCGATAGTCTTGCCGAGGATCAGGAATCCAAGTTACCAACGCCTGCGCGGCTGAGGTCATTGAAGAGACTCCTGAGCAGGGAGAAGAGGGTACCTCCTAATTGTTCCAATGGTCCTGTTGATGTTTAATGATTGGACTAATTTAATCCAGGTCTTGAAACTAGCTATAGATGCCTGAAGATATAGCATTATCTCGGCATCATTGGGTTCTGCCATCTTTGAGAATCGGTGCTTCTTACTGAAGGTAAATGAGTCTTCTTTAGTTGATTAGCTCAGTGTCTTGTGATTCTTGACGCTGAAATGGCAAGGTTTAATCAGCCCGTTGTACAAGTTCTCGCTGGTAACTCTGATCTTGCAACAGAGTTTCACAACATTTGTTGGAAATGAATATATTGGATTAGAAGAGTACCTACCAGGCTTCTCTGCTTAAACAGATGAACCAACGCATCTCTTTCTACAGAAGATGTAATGCTGTAAATTTTCTGTTCTAATGCTGATTCATCTGTTATAGATCCGTTAATACATTTGTTTCTTGTTTAAGCTTTATGATCCACATGCCATCATGGGTTGAATGTATTTCAGATATGCATGAAATCATCGATATATTGCACAGAACTGGGTTGCATCAAGTGTTGGGCAAGGTTCCAGAGATGTTGAAACTTACCTTCAAACTCATCTTAAAAACAACCACTTGTATTACTGTTCTCTAAATTGGAGAAATTTTGTGTTACATGACGTAAGATTGCATAGAGTTGTCGAGCCCATGAACAGAGAATTGCAAGATGCTACTAATCTCCTTTGACCAAAGAGCGTCATTCTTTAGTTTGAACAGATCATCAACTATCCATTGAGTGAGTGTTTCTGGTTTCTTTACCCGTCATCTGTCCGAAACCCTGTTTCTGGACATGATAGCTACGTACGAGGCAGTGCGAAGGCATGGTAAGATCTCAACAAAAATTCATATGGACTCGTCTTTCAAAATGCTTTCGCTGAAATTAACAAGACAGGTATCGATCACATGTTTAAGATTCCTAAAACATCTGTTTATCAGATGATTTTGTTTTTCTGTCAACAATGTGGGGTTTTAGGGGAGGGGAGTGTAGTAACAGTTACTTTTAAATTGTTTTTTATTTGTTATTTTTATATTAGTATAAAATACAAATAAATTATTTGAAAAAAAAAGAAGAATTTTGGTCAATTTCTGATTGAATTGCAATTGCAAATAAAGGCAAAATATATTTGGTATTACCATACAACAATCCTAAGTGAGGACTAAATATATTTGGTATTGAAGTGTAGAGTATTTTTTAAATTAAAAATGCATTAAAATATTTTTTCAAAATTATTAAAAAACACTAAAAAAATATTAATTTAATAATTTTTCAAACCAAACACTTTTGAAATATACTTAAACATAATTTCAACTATAATATTAGAAAGTCTCTAAAATAGTTAAATTGGTTAAAACCTAAATAACAACTCAAATAGTTGGCATTCATGAATTATTATTAGAAAATATTAAAAAAATATCAATTTAATATTTTTTAAAATTAAAAATATTTTAAAACAAACTCAAACACAATTTCAACCTCTATTTTGAACTGAAAAATTGAATTAGATGCAGTATTATTTATTTTTTTGTTTATAAACATTTTTAAAAAATAATTTTTTTTAATTTTTTTGCTTCAGCTTAATTTTTTTATGTTTTTAAATTATTTTAATATATTAATATCAAAAATAATTTTTAAAAATTAAAAAAAATAAATTTAATATATTTTCAAATAAAACTATTTTAAAAAATTATCATTATCCTAACTTCAAACATCACCAAAACTAAATATTGACCACGCATAGTTGGCATCCAAAAATATGTCGGATGCAGCAACCCCACACAAGTTGGGTTTTATTCTCCTCAGATATCTACAGCGTCCTTTTTGGGTGCCCATCTTTTGCTTTATTTTGCAGTTCTTTTCCCTTGGGCCTCCTTTTCTTTCCGTCGACATTCCTTCATGTTGACACTTGGGAGTTGGAACAAAGTTCAAAAAGGATGAGAAGGAAGTCATCTGGGTATCGTTCAAATTGATAAACTTCTGCGGCTACGGTCAATCTACGAGTGTTTGTAGCTGCCGAAAATTTGATTATTTTTTTATTTTAAATTGTCTTCATATGTTGATATTGATTCTTTTTATTTTTCCATATGCGTCAAGTATACTGCAGTTTGGATAAACACAAGCCAATACAAGGCAGAAAGCTCAATTGGCTACTTGGAATAGTTTTTTACTTTAATATTTATCTGGGTTGCACAGTCTTGACTAGAAAAACAAGCAAGCGAGAAGGAGACAGATAATAGAATAAAACTAACAGGTTGTCCTGGTCTCGACCTCTTTCTATTATAAATAATCTACTGTACACAAATTAAAGCTGATTACTTGGATTCCAGATATTAGTTGTTTCTGCCTCTCCGAATGATCAAATACACTCGGTGTCACCATCCTTCGACCAAGAGCTACTGCACTACGGAAAGTGAAGAAGTTTCAGTGCAAAGCTTTTGTCGCCGAAATACTAAGTTACCAGGTAAACAGGTCCATAGGCCTTGACACCATGGGGATTGTTAAGATGGTCATGACACACATAACGGTTCTCGTTCTTCACGCTCTTGGAACGGTTGAAAAGATTAGTCAGCGGCCCAGATGTTTGTCGCCGATACCTGACTTCAACTCCTCTGCCACTTCCATATATAGGACCGGAGACATGACCCTTTCTTGGATTTGAAATGTTGGAGCCATTTGTTGCTCCTACGAGAGGCTTGGTCTTTTTCTCAGCATTCCACCATTTGAGGAGAGAGTGTTTCCAGGACCTCCTGCTCTTTTTCTCTTCTTCCACTCTTTCTTTTCCAGATTCTGGATGTGGTAAAATTGACTGCAGATTCATTTCTCTTGCATGTTGTCTTGCTTCTTCCAAGAACTGATCGTGGTTGTAAAACTTGTTACGTTAAAGTAAAAACTAGAAGGCACTCTAAGAAAGTCTCTCGTCTGTTCAATGCTAAACAGCTACTCAGAGATGCTTAAAACAGTTTGCGCAGCTAATGTGAAGTTTAATTTTGTTGATCAATTAAGAGCTACAGCACGGAGACACTCGCCTTTATGATCCAATATCACATCATAGAACTTGATTCACTACAAAACTAGAGATAAGGATACAAATGACATGAAGACGAGTATTGTCTTTCTTACTAAATCTGAAACACTCCACGAATTGATAACTAGTTTCAGTTCTATGTTTAGAAACTAAGGTGAGAACTAGTTAAAAGCTGAGACAGGCTGCTTACCAGTGTAAAGTCAACTTGAGGATCAAACTCGTAAGCACCATGATCGCTTGCCTCGTAGTTTTGGTACATTGGAGAGTTATTCATGTTTGCCTGGAAATCTTTGGAGTCAGTAACGTAAACCAAAGCTTTCAAGGTTAAATTACACAAACACAATCAAAGGCATCACAAAAAGAACATCCAGCAAAAGAGGTGAGCCATCAATTTATTTTGTAAAAGAGAGTTATGGAATACATGAAGCTACGATATTAAGAGACTGAAGATGAAGTGCACAATTGTCCACCTTTGAGTTATTTCTCTAGTCAGGAGAGGCAGCGCAGAGAAATAGATGCAGCGCAAAGAAGATGCTAGGGAAAATTGAAATATGCCCTCTGCTAATGAAAAGGAACTGAAGAAGGGTAAGGCCAACTGCCTGGGTGACACTTCATTAAGCTGTATTTACGGAAGAAACAAGAGCTTTTTGGTGGTTGAAATGGCAATGTAACCTCCTGCTGATATTTAGCCAGGAAAGGACAGGTGGGTAAGCTGGCTGGAGAATTCACCGAGGTCCTAACCAAAAGTAGGACTTAAAATCAGCAGAAAATCTGGCCAGCTACCAAATCCTTGAGAAAAGGAAGGTATAAGATGGAATCATTCCGATGATTACTTTCCTATCAATTCTAAACGTACTCAGTAAGGCAGGCAGCGATGGAACATCACAAAGTAAATGCTTGTTGCTCGCAGCTATCGTACTTGAGGACCAAACATCCTTGATTCATAGCCTTGAATATGAACTTGGACGAGCTGGCAATATGCACGAAAGTGGAAGCAGTAAAGGAGCCAGCCAACAAGTCTTTTTAGCACCAGTACAGATTAGGCAAGTTGAGATAGAGGCTCATTCCACAAATTCAATCATGATAGTATATAAAAACAAGCAATTGTTACGTTTGAGAAAGAAATTATAAAGGATCCTTTTATGCCGTTGTGGGGTTGGGGGATGCCAAGGTATCCGTGTCTGGCGCCTGTCACGGAGTGATTTGGGCTCTCCTAGATTATGGAAGGAGAAGGCAACAAGAAATAATAGCAACTGAGGTGTAGTTGAGGATTGTAACCCACTAATACAAGCCCATCACGCAGGAGCAGAAATTCATTTCCTCTAAAAAGAGGTTTCTTTGAGTTGAGCATGACTGCAATACCTAGTGTAGAAATCTCAAAATCATGGATGCTTTGTATCATATGCTCAAATTATTCCCAAAATTTTGCTTCTGGGCAAACCTTTTTCCCACATAGATCCAAGAATCATTAGATTTAAGAGTGTTAGCATAACATACGAAGAACAAAAGGAAGGAACAATATGGCAATTTAATATGGTAATTTAACAGTTCTGGCCAAATCAGAATCAATAATCAGAGATAATCAAGTGCGCATACAAGAAAGTTACACTTTGGACTGAGAAACAGAACTCGGTATGGCATTGATAGTGTTTTTCAAGCGACAATGAGCAGAACTTCAAAACAGCAAGAAAACATTGACCTCCAATCTGACATGCCAAACACAAATCCCAACAAAATTGGCATTATAATAGCATCAGAAGTACGCAAACTTCAAGCAGTATAACAATCCACCAACAGTAATATTAGCGGCAGTCAAGAAACCCAAGTGGGCATCCTCAGCATTGACCTCTCTATACAAGATTTTGGTAGATACATGACAAAAATTTCCACTAACGCTTCTAAAATTTCCTTTGTCCAGTCTAGTTTTCAAAGTTGAAGTAGAGGCAGTGCCATCACAACACCAAAGATTGAAACCAGTAACAACATCATCCAGGTTGGGAATGGCTGCTTCCTGTTTCTTCTTGCATCCTTCGGGGTATCTCCTCCCTTTGCATCTTCTACTGAAGAATCACCAAGTTTTTCCAACTTCGTTCTGCCTTTATCTTCTTGTGGTACCTGTGATGGCACTTGCTCTGAAACAAGCTGCCTGTCGTGTTGCTCCTGCTTATACTTCTCTACATACTCGGGAAACAATTTCTTGAATGCCGTGCTGTCATGGAGACATGCATTAGATTTTATTGGAATTTAAATAACTAATTGCTTAATTCTTGAACTCAAACAAATTGATAGATCCTACTTTCAAGCAGGCTAAGGAGGGATGACAAAAGAACATAACCTTAAATGAGTGATAAACATTGAATCCTAGCTGCCATTGCAGGAACAGGTAACAATCATGGTGTTAAAAGGGGCCCACATTCTAACAATGGCTTAAATGCAAAATCAAAGACATGCATGCATAAGGGCAACAACAACAGAGCCTCAATCCCAAATCAACACCATTCCAGCAATCATAATCCAAATCCACCTCAATATATAAACCAGGTATGCATAAAGGGCAGAGAAATGCTTTGTGATTGGGGTAATGGATCCTCGGATAGAGGAAGCTTTATATATTGAGGTGGTGATTGGAGAAGGGTTTCTTTTTTTATTTATTTATAAGGAAACATAGGAAAGGTGGTGCACTGTACTTACTTCTTACAATTGAAAGCAAGAGAATCCTTTGCTAGGTGTCGCTTCTCAGCAGCAGTAGTGTTCACACTTCCTGTGGTAGGAGTGTTGTCAGTCTGCATAGCAAAGATGCATCCTCGTTTGAGAATGTACTTCAGGGAAAGTAATAATATAAAAACTTAAAATGCCTCAAATTACAGCTTCCCGAGGAACTAATACATAGTTTTAACACCTTTGTCATGAAACATACCATAATTAACAACAAGATAATGCCAGCTACCCACCCAGAACAATTCCCAAACAAGTTAAATGGAAGAAAGCTGAAACAAAAATGGTTAGCTACAAGTAAATTGAGCAGATTTGGTAATTAATAACAAAATAGATTCTGAAGGAAGAAGCAGTCCTAACAAATTACTACATTTAAAGTATTCAGGGAGTTCAGAGCCACAATTATCTCACCATGAAAGAAAGAAGCCCTGTAAGTATGCTGCAGTGATGACGAAGAATGTTAGACCAAGGATAAAAAATAACTGGTTCTTTATTATTTAGAGAGTTAATAAGCCTTTATCTGTTTTACCTTGATACAGACCACATGGGGTTCCAACTCTCTGGATGAACTGGAAAGCAATAAGATCAAGGGAAGCAAAACCAATTATCAAGATGGCCAAAAGTAAAATTTTCTAAGCATAGCTGCTTAAAGAACTTACAATCACTCATGGATAAGCATATTTTCTTTTGAGTCATGAATCGGCCATTGGGAGTGATCATGCTACAAAGATGAACATCACAAAAAAATTAGAATGAAGCCCAATCCTATAAATTAAAAGAGAGAGACACTGAAAAGTTGATATTCAGGAAACAGTGAAGTAGCAAGAAAGCACATTACATGATTCCAGGAGGTTTATAGGGATACTCGGGAGGAAACTTGATTTTTCCATAGTAAAATCCACCTTATCAAAAGGAAGTCAGAATTTTCAATTAGAATAACAAAACAAGTGACTCCACATTTTACTCGGGAGCAAGATAATCACACTGTTTCTGTATGCATCAACGACATAATAGCAAACCTGCAAAAGGCGTTCCTTCACTTCCCTCCAACACATAATCTGAAGCATAGTTACATAACATCAATAGCAACAAAACACATCAGTAAATTGGTAATATTATGATCACAAAAGGCAACAGAAAGCAAATAAAAAACAAAACACAAGGAGCAAAAATGAAGTTAAAAACAGAGTCACTAAGTGCTATGAAAGAAGGAACCATATCTCAAATCATCCGGTAACAATGCTAAAGTTTTCATGAGAAAGTAATCTCTTCACTTTCCTTCTGTCATCAACTCATCTTCATTCCAAATAACAATGGGATATTTTATAGTGGGATTCTTCCAAATACCAAACTATACTTGCAGTAGAAGAAATGACACCTCACCACATCACTGGGATAAGGCTGTAAAATATGTTCCCCTTCATCTTAAGAATGAAGAGCAACTTTCTGGAACCTTTAACATTATCTTCATGCATTTAAAACTCCATGATTTTGAACTAGTCAAGCAAATCAGTAATGAACTGGAAAGCATTCACAAGTGTTTTGCATCAACTTTTCCACATAACCTTTTGAGTTTGAAAGAGTACAATTTGCATCAACTTTTCCCCATAACCTTTTGAGTTTGAAAGAGTACAAAGACACAAAAATCAGTGTTTCATGTGTTGCTTACAATATCTGCTAAATCTTCAGTTACATTTGAAGCAAGTCTAGACAAATGATTGGATATTGTATTTCCTTTATCCTAAATATAGATAGCAATAACTCTATGTCACCACTCGTAAGCACAAGTAGATCGTGGAAAAGGCTAAGAGGAATTAAAAAAAAAAAAAACATGTACATTTTCATTTGAAAAAATCAAAAGAGGAAAGAAACAAGGATAAGTAAGAATTTACGCCATTCGAGAATATCACTTGAGGAAGGACGGGCAACAACATGAGAGACTGGTTCCTGCAAATTCATCGTTATACAACAACAAAAATCATTGTCATATTAAAAAAAAAAGTGAAATGAAGTTTCATCGAGCAGTAAAGGGTTGGCATTTGGTAATACAGAGATATTCAAGCATTTCAACCATCACTAAAAACCCAGTAAGCGAAACATCAAACAACCATGTGACCTTAAAAGAAAAAAGATGCAAAACAAAGCAGCGTATGAAAACAAAGCTAATCATCTATGACAAGAGAGGACACTGTTTCCAAAAAGAAATGAAAACCTAGATTGACAAACTAACATTTTATAAAAAATGGGTAGCAATTGACAGTACCAATCTTTACTCTAGCTCTAGCCGCATTATTATTTCACTACGATTATACTGGAAAATAGGATAAAATGGATTATATACTTTACAGAGAGCTCTATATTCCTTCTGGAGTCGCTTGACACAAGATTTCTCAGCCATGAATCAGCTAACCTACTCCTCCTCCTCCTCCAATAATAAATTAATAAAATTGGTTTGAAGTTCCGCAACTGGATACTGTTAAAAGAAAATTAATTAAATTAGTAAGATCATCAACTACTTCCACTGATCGGGTAAAAACTAGAATGAATCATAGAAAAAACTATTATTAAATTACAAAAAAGAAGAAAAAAATTATATATAAAAAAAAAAGAATAAGAAGGGAGATAGATTATTAGTTCAATAATTGATCGAAGTAGAAAAGAGGGATCAAATCAGAAACTCACCTACGTAACTACCTAGCTCAAAATATCTGATAATAATAATAATAGTATACTATACCATAGTAAAAGAGAAGGAAGGAAGAAGAGATGAATAATCTGATAATAGTAATAATAATAGTATACTATACCAGAGTAAAAGAGAAGGAAGGAAGAAGAGATGGACTGAAATGTTACCTAACTTCTTCATTTTAAAACTTTGATTATTAATGTGAGAATCAAATGACGGAAACCACCGAAACAGTTACAAACAACCGGCAGTTTTTTTATCTGCAAAAAAATAAAAAAGAATGTGTAGTTGTTGCGCTTGCATTTTTAACAGCAATTTTCTTTTTAAATTGATGAATATATTTAATAAAATAAATTGAGGATAACATGTAAAAATAAATATTAAAAAAAATTGTTAATGTTAGCTAAATATTAAGTTATATTTTTTTGTTAATGTTAGCTAAATATTAAGTTATAAAGTTGAGATATAAATACATAATAAGATATATATAACAATATTTTTTATATGAAAAGAAAAATAATTTAAATGTTAGTGAAATAAAATAACTTTCTTATATAACCCCTTCTTTTCTTATTATTTTTTTATTTCAGAAAAATATAACTTCATTGCATTATTTTATTTATTTAATAAAAATGAAAAGCAATGATAACTACTATAAAAAAAATGGATGATTTAAAATAACAATAAAAAATTTCTCATTAATTAAAACTCATCTATCTTATTTACGTGTCTCTTTTTTTTTTTAATTTTCACTAGAATATTTATATTTTACATAAAAAAATTACTACCATAGCCATCAACATATGTTTAAAGTAAATAAAATATTATTATGATATTTTTTATGTAAATGGATATAAAAACATAAGACAAATGCACTGTTTGCCTCTCCATGTGGTGATTTATTGCACTTGGTAATGTTATTGATCTCTGGGTTTGGTATGGTAAGTTAATTCAATTGTTGTTTAATTTAAATTTTAAATTAAATTTTATAGGAGTTAATATGTATAACCTTGTGAACTTCATAAAAACTATTTATTTTATTTTTCTTTAAAATATAGAAATAATAATATTTTGAATCGACTTAAAAATATTTAAATTAACCTTTTGAACTTCTAATTCAAATTATAAATCTAATTTTCATAACCTTTTAAAAAATATTTTTTTATTCAACATGGCATTTAACAAAACATGGACGGCATTTAAGAAAGCAACACATCAAATATATTTTTAGTAAATTTATTTTATTTATATTTTTAAATAGAGAAAAAAACATTAAAGGCCACAACAAAGCCCAAGCGGGAATGCCAGTACGCTTGGCTCTGCAACGTCCCACCTTTTTCCAGGGGAAAAAAAATGAGGTGTCGTTGACAGGATGCTTTTCAGCCACCTGAAGATGCTAGAAAATCAAGGTATAACCCCTTGATCCATAGACCCATTATTACCTGTCCTTTTCACATGAAAACACCTCCCAAAAGCTTATAAACTTAAATAAATCTATATCTAACCTTAAACAATCTTTAATACTTTGAAAAACTAAAAGCTTATCCTACTTTAAAAAAAAAATATTGAGGCTCGATCTAATTTTTTAGGCAAAATATCAAGAAAAAAACATTACAATAAAACTTATCTTACCATATAAAACTCGTTAATATAAAAAATAATTTATTTTATCACTATAATGCGGAACACTCTTAATTTTTTCACTCATCTTATTTTTCAATTACTCTTTCCTCTCAGATAAAAAAGTGAAATGTGAATAAAATAAAGCTTGGTTCAAAATACCAAAAACTTAAAAAATATTTTTTAAAAGTATTTTTGATTAAAAATATTTTAAATTAATATTATTTATTTATTTTTTAAAAAATTATTTTTAACTTCAATATATTAAAATAATCTAAAAACATAAAAGATTTAATTTAAATAAAAAATTTAAATTTCTTTTAAAACAAAAGAAATAAGCACTCCCTCTATATACTCATGGGTTGGGTTTATCCTATAAACAGAAAAGATCATCTCCTTACACATTATTATTCTTATTATTTAAAAAAATTGTTTACGCAATCACTCTTAAGAAAACAAAAATAGAATAGGTATAGAACGCAACATCATGATGATAAATTTAAGGTGTTCGATGAAACGAAATTCTGGGCATGGTTGGCAAAGCATCGCCATTGAATGATGAAGCTTTTGCAACTGAAGACAACGTTGGAGCATTTGCAGCTGAATTAACTGCAAGGAACAGCTGTTACCAAACATGTTTCTAGGATTTGTAGATCCAACAGTGTGCTACTGTCACTGTCCTTGGAGTCGGAGGCTGAAGCACTGCCTAATCACACAATATAATACTGATCCTTTTAGCTTCCCCAAAAGGACTAGTGTTGAGATCACGTGATAAATCACATGACCTTCTTACAAATGTTTTACAAAACAACCAAAATCGGGTCAGAGTCACTAAACATGTAACAGTCAAAGAAAAGCACATGATCCCACTGTTATCAGATCCCAATTTGGATTTTTACTGGTAATTTGAAAGAAAAAAAATCAGCGAGTTTGGTATAAATCACTTCTACTTATATGAACCACTACATGGTCTCATTCTATCATATCATATCAGAAATCATTGCCACTTCACTCACCAAGTAGCATAACAAAGAGCAAACCACCAACAAAATGAAGTCATGCTCTAGAGCGCTTGCTGCTCTTGCTCTTCTTCTTTCAGTACTTCTGTCTGCCTGCTTAAACATAGCTCAAGCAGAGGGTCGTTCTTTGGCACCACCATCTACCACTTCAGTATCAAGCAAGGCTTCAACTTCACAAGCTTTCAGAGATTTGCAAGCAAATAAGAACCCATTTAAGAAAATTGGTTCAAGCTACAGAAGAATACCTCCAAGCAACTCAAATCCTACACAGAATAAGTAACTCACGAGAACAAACAGTTTCAAGACCTTTTCCACCATTTGCAGTTTTCCGGTAATTGATTTAAATACCCTGTTTTTTTGTCCCAGGTGCAAGCCTCCACTAGGCGACTGAAAGAATCACAAACCAGAAGGTTCAAAGCGACAGCATTGAGTGTAGCAGCTCTTTTTTTTCTCTTTGCGTGTGTTCCATTCATTCTTTAACACCCTTTTTATGTAGACTAGAGTTTATGTCAATAGCCACCAAATGTAATTGCAGTTCGTATCGCTTTTACAATTTTTTGCTACCATAGGCACAGACAATTAAGTTTTGCAGTAACATGTAAACCCGTCAATTTCTTATATGTAATAGTAAATGATAATTTCATCTGTTATTTGAAAAGGTCTATGATTCACACATTCCAGTCTAAAGCAAAATACTCTTAATACTGAACAAAATTTGAAGCTAAGAGAAAGATAAAAATACTATTAAGTAACAGAACTTGCACCTCCACTCCAGTACTCAAACAATCTTTGCAACTAATTTGCTACACTATATCAAGTGAGGCCTTACAAAAGTGTCAGAATTAGAGAATTCATACCATCAAACTTTTAACTTCTTTCTTGAAGCTTTTGATTGCTCCTCTTGTCCGTGTCGTTTGTTCTTCTTCAGGTCAACAGACAGAAAAGGTTTCTGATTTACACTACCTGTTGCTTTCTCATCAGAGGCACCACCATGACCCTTCTTGTGCTTCTTGTTTTTCACTTTCATGACATCATCAACCACAGCATGCTTTGCATATTTCTCTGATGAGGCCAAATGATGATCAATCTCTTTCCTCACATTCTTTACTCCTATTGCGAGTGATGTGCTCTTGGAAGTATCAGCAAGGAAGGAGTCACTTTTTGATGACTTGGCCTCACCAGATCCAAATGCAGCATAAAATTCTTTGTAAGTTGATTGTTTCGAAGCCTGTCTTGATCTCCACTGATCAGGCCAGTTAGCATATCTGACACGGTAAAGAAAAGGCAAAAAGAAACCAGTATCAAACACGACAGTCAACCATCGAAACCAGCCAACAAATGCCAAATGCTTCATAAGTATCAACTATCATCTTGTTTTCCCTAGTGCATACTGCCCATGTAAATTAATTTCAGATCACAATACAGGGTCCTAACTGAAGTGAGGACAAACCAGAAAAAACTTGTCATGGCTTTTACTACCCTTGAAAAAATGCAAGAGGCAAGTAGATTTCATATCAGAACTGATCACCTTAGGAGCTCAATATTCAAAACAAAAATACTTCACGTAGCTTACCCATCAATATCTAATTTTCTTAAGAGGTAAGGGCCTTGCTTGGTCTTAGGAAGCTCACTTTGCACGGATAACAAGTCTGATGCTATAGCTTCTCTTAGTGACAAATTACTGGCACTAAAGCACTTTTCAACAGTAAATGAACTGGAAGAGTGCATTGCAAGCTCTCCAAAATGTCCCCGTAACCTTCAGAAGTAGAGAGTAATCAACATTAAACAAAAGGAAAAAGACAGAGAAATGAAATGAATAACCAGCCAAGTAGAAAGTTCAGTATTCAGAATAGATGAAAAATAAGAGTTCTATGTTGGATTCCCAACTAAGATTGATCTCTGAATCCTTGATAGTCAAAAAACTGAGATATAAACCAGATATTTTCAAAGAAAATAGTACACTCAAGATTGACTTTGCATTACACGGCACCCAAGGGTAAAATGGCTATACTTAGTTTAGCTTCATTCCCAAAATGAAGGAAAAACAATAGCACTAGAAGGCATGAGGGGAAAAATAATTACAAAAATTGGAGACTAATTCTATCATGGTTAGACCGGAAAATATAAAACTTTGACCCCAAAGTTACCCTTTTGTTTCCTAAAGCAACTCCTTCAATTATTGTTCAACCAAAAATAAAGGAACTAAGAAGAAATTAAAACTCCTGAAAAAGAGAAAACAACCAATACCGTAGCTTGACATACTTATTAATTAGCCTGTGCTTTTGTTTTCCAGACGCATCGGAATCTAGAAATGCTTCGATTGTACGAGCTCCCCCTACATCCTTTGCAACTTCAAGGACATGGTCAACTTCCATGGATGTGAGACTCATTATATAAGGCTGTATGAGTTGCTGCAAAAATACCAAATATGAAACATTAAAACAAGGAATGAAAAGATTGCCAAATATCTCCATTAGAAGCCAATTAAGTTAACTGAGCATGTTGGAAGATACTAGCACGCCATGATAAACTAAGATAAATACAAATATTCATTGCAGTAATGAACTTAAGTAGCCAGATCATAAGCACATTTGAGATTTTAATATACCTAGTTCCAGAAGAAGTTTCTGATGAGAGATATCAATGCACATATGAATGCATGTGTGTGTGAATATAGTCAAGAATATGAAAGCATGAGCCAAAACAACATGGGGTGGGTAAAGAACAGGGTAGGCTGGGATAGACAATGCCTAACCCTGTCCAACTTCATACCATCATAAACTTCTTTATTGTTTGGTTCCTCACATACCTCTTCCTATAGGGGATATAGTTACCACCCTCCCCCTGGTGAGAATGATCTGTTAAGTACCCAAATAATAAGCTTAACTATACGCTACAGCAAGTATCAATAAAAGAATACACACTTAATTGTTTTGAAGCACAGAACAAAGAACAGACAATCTGAATAAAAGTTCAGCGAGCAAAGGGCCGATGAGAAAGCTAAGCAATTAAAGAAAGACAAGCTTCACAGGCTTTGAGCTAACTTGAATCCTAAATAGCCACAACAATGTCAAATCTGCCAGACTTCTAAGTTGGTAAAGAAAATAAACCACACCAGAGCAGAGAACACCACACTCACTTTCCTGTTTGCCCAGCCAGAGGCTTTTTTACAAGAATCAATTACAAACAAACAAACAAAAATATTTCCTTGAAAATTCAAGTCAACAGGTATTTCAAATTTTCAAAGATTCAAACCAGCACACTCAGATTCATGAATTCCAACAGAAGGACAGGCAGATTAGTAATAAACCGATTGTATTTGTATTAGATTGAATTGCATGAACTAATATATCAAGGTGGATTAGGAGAAACAGATCCGATGGTTCAAGATTGGAAGTTCAAAGCAAAACTAATTAACAAAGGCAAAAAAACCAAGTCCATTAGTAAATCTATCTATGCCAAGTCTCCAGCTCAAGATCAATAGAACTAAAGCACAGAAGCAACTGTGCATGAATGGTAACGCAACCACTTTCTAATCATTAAACTATGATGGAGCATGTGGATGTAAAATTTGTGAGTGCCGGTGGTGATGGTGGTGGCGGCTGTGAGAAAAAAAGGAAGTTTACTGGTTGAGTTTGAGGGCAAGACAAGAATAAGAGACCCAGTACTGTAAAATTTGTAGATGTATGTTAAATATCGAGGTGCACCATGAGCACACATTACACTTGCACGCACATAAAATACAGATCAAATTTGAGAGGCAAATGGTGGTCCTTAGCATTAACATTGCACAGCTAGCAATGGCTTTGTTTCCCTATCATTTTTATTCTTTTGCTCATAAAAGCAAAACATAAAACATATTTGCAGCAATCAGTTGCAGCATGGTAATGGACTTGAGCAATTACAAATGCAGAAATGAGGCAAAAAACAACTTACATTATGAAATTTAAAAACTGCCTGCAGAATCAGAGAGCCCATAACATGGATCTTGGCACCGCTTGGCCACTTCCAATTGGATTTTTCCACACAAGCAAAGTAACTTTCAAGAAACAATATTCGATCAACAACAGATCTAGGAGACTCATTTGGCAAACATACTGCATCAGCAAGGGCCTTACAGACCTGCAAACAAGCGACAGGAATGAATGACTGCTGTTGTTAGATTATGTACGTGTATGTATAATAATCTTGATTCTTTCCTTTTCTTTTTAAATATATAGAAGTGTAAAAATCTACTAAACTGCTTTTCAACAACTTGACAAAATATTTAATTTTTATTTCCTAAAATTATTTCAGGATCTTAACACATGCATGTATCAAAATAAAAAATGTCAAACAAGAAATGGTGTTTGAGTAAAAACCTCATGTTCATGTGTGTGAAGCCTTTGACTTGTAGCAATAAGAGATGCAATAACTCCTGACTTCCCCATTTCAAGAAGATCCCTAAATTTTGGACCAAGTTTCTCCCAGATAAACTCCATCTGGTAGTCAAGAAGATAAAAATACTGCATCAGAACTCAAAGACACTGTAACTTAGGCACATTATCTTGCACCGTGAATATTAGTTGTTGAATAGAAGTATAATGGTTAGCTAAACATAGCAAAATTATACAACCCTGTTCATATACCAGAATAACTTGAACTCATGAAAAAGAACTTCTCATAATATTACAACCTAATCTTGGTGCAAAAAAGTAAGGTGTGCTAAGATTTTGCCAAACATTCAAAAGATGAGAAGTAAGAACTACATGCTGAGTTGAGAGAGATGCAATCTTATAACACATACTTGTTCCTGATCTCTTGCATGAGAAACTAAGGCTTGAACAACAAAATTGCCACACTGATGGGATGAAAGCTCAAATAGAGATTTCCTGAAAATCTTTGTGAACATTTCATCATACAAGCTTTCAGGACTCACTGCCAGGATTACCTGTAGATTTGGGAAACTTAAAATAATCAAATTTACAAATAGCTACCATCTAGAGAGAAACAGCACAATAAAAAAGATCACATATTACAGCATGCAACCTTGATGACAATGCGTGATTATCCAAAATTCTGAACCCCTTCACATAACTGGTCCTTGAGCATTTATTACAGCATTAAAAAAATTATTTACAAAATAAAAAACCAAATGCACAGAACTTGCAATCCTATGGAAGCAGAAATGTTATTGTTACCATGGAATAGCTTACTCAGATAAGTGACAGGTGGGGTTAAGTGTGTCACCAACCAGATAGTAGAATAATATAAACAAAAAAAATAAGAAAATTGATGGTATTTCAGGACTTACTGCAGCAGAGCAATTTCATAAGAGGACACCTGCAGATACTAGACATTTTAAATTTGTTTACAGGGAACATGATAAAAATTGCACCTAGAAGATAAATCTTTAGTATAACAATTTGGTTATCATGGAAATTTTATTAGCATCTGCAATCATACTTGTGGTTGTAAAAAACAAATGATTAGGATGAGTTTCTAGTAGAATCTTTTCATTATGATTCAAACTTGAAAGTGTAGAAATAAATGCACCTTAATCAGTCACACCAGGAGCACAATGTAAAAACAAGTAATCACATTGACACAGATGCAATTGAGAATACGACATGATACATAGGATGCATGTGTCTAATTAATGGACCACACTGATTTACCACATTAAAAATTAAATATGTTACTCACCTCCATTAGGTGGCTATATGCAGCTTCTTTCATCAATTCTACAATGTCACTGACCGCTGTCATTTCTATGAAGTTTCCTTCTGTTAAATTTTCTTTTCTGCAGTCGAGTAGGACCGGAATTATCTGTAACAACTGTTGATCATGCCCAGCAAGTAACTTCAAAGCTGTCTGCCAAGAGCAAAATGCCAATTAAATAGCATGAACTTGATTAAGACAATTAAATCATATGAATAAATTAAACCAGCAAACAAGAATTTACAGGGCTCAAGTCACTTAACAAAGTGCAACAAACACAAGACAAACTTCCTCAACACCACCTCATCATGGGAGATGGCAGTGTGTCTAAGGGTATGGGGGTGACAGAGTCTCCGAACATAATAAAAGTAGAAAGAAGAATAGCTTTCTAAGCTTAAGAAAGTTAGTTGAACACTGGCAAGGTAATTTTGTACAACTCAGACAAATCTTCTGGAGACTGTCGTCTCAGCTTAGAACTCCTAAATCAAGTAAGAGTCTCAATAATTCGTGTAAAAAAGATACAGCACAAGGAGATTCAAGGGGAAACTTTCCAACATGCCTGGAAAACCAAACTGCTGTACTGATCAACTAGAAGGTATTTCACATCTTCTTCACTACATTTCAACATTCCTGATACAAGAAACTTGAGTAAACCAGGAAATCCTTGATGATGATGTGATAAATTGTTCCCAGGGGCTGAAGAAGTGCTGAGGTTCAAACGCTCTGCCAGAATCATTGATGGTTTTGCTCGATGGAACACTGGGGAATCTAATGGCACTCCTCCACAAAGACAAAGAAGACTTCGGAAAACATGAGATCCATAGCAGTTACACATCATATCAACAGGACTAGCTACAATTACCTGATAAGGATCAAATCATATATTAAAGAAAATAACATGAGACCCCAAGTGATTACATATCATTATTACAGAATTGGTTATAGTTACCTGACAAAGATCATATCATATTGAAAGGGTAAGTATGTGTCATTAAAAGCCATACTCTACTTAATCATTTACTTCTACTATGGAGAAGATATCGGCATTTTTTTTCCATTTGGCTGAACAATAATATTCGCTCTGTGAAAGCCATAATTGTTGAGAAAACCCACAACTAAAAGCGCACAACATTGATAAACAGTAAGAACAAAGAGGAAGCATGTTTGCCGGTACAAGAATCTAAATGCATCATGTTATAGAAGTAAAAAATGTCACCTAATTAATACCTTGCATATATTAGTTAGAGTCTCTTCAATAACAAAATAAGCCTCATCGTCCTGAAGATGCATAGCTAACGACTTGAGAGCTGTCTCAGCAACATGAGAACCGGACCTATCCATTGAAATTAAAGGAAAGACCTTTGCACAGCCTCGGAGGAAATCGCAAAGATGGTCCACATTACAGCCCTCGAGCAGGATTTGCAGAGTGTGGCTTATATAATAATCAGTTGCCAGCTCAAATTCTTTGCCTCTAGCTTCTTCAAGAGCATTGCCACATATAACCGGACGCTCCTCCAAATCAACGCCATCACTTTCAAACAGATTTACAATCTCTGAAAAATATTTGGTTGTTTCAGGATCAACCTGTTTCCTACAAGCACATTCCACTACTCAGATGCAGTCTCATAACGGTTTAAAAAAAAAAACATGAGAAATGAAAAGAGATTGCCAAAAAAAATAAAACAAAGGTAAAGCAGAAGGTACCATACCTTACAATTGATGGTTGTGGCTCTGAGAAAGTATTTTGATATTTTGATGACTTTTTGGGTTTCGCAGTTCCATCAGTCGCCCGCCCAGAAACACTTTTGTTGGAATTATCAGCATCAAAACCAAAACTGTCATTCTTGGCCTTCCTGCTCATACCCTTTTTCTTTCTGCCCTGATTATATGATTTATCCTCCCTGCCCATCAAGTTATCTTCCACCAAATTACAACAATTCCTGTCTCTTCTTAACGCTAGAGCTTTTGAACCAACAGAAACCATACGCACCCGCAGCAAGGCTTCTTGCCTTCTATGCAATAAACTGACAAGATTGAAAGAAAATCAACTGAGAAACACAAAAACCTCCCTTAAACCCTAATTGGAGTGGCCATAAAGCTTGCAACCGTCCGTTTTCAAACGGTGGCGTCTCCTGGTGAGGCTTTTGGGCCCATAAATTTATATGTCTTCCTGGGCTCCTTCTTTTGTTTTCTTTAAACTCGATAACGGTTTAGTGTTCTTAGGCCCATCACTACTTGCGTTTCGACTTGCAAATTTAAGAGTAGGCTTTCTTCTTCTTTTTTTGCCCATCATTTTAATTTTCTTGTCGCAAGTAGTTTACAAGTTGCAACTTTGGCAGTGTGTTTTTTCCCCTCTTGTCAACATTTGTATTTTGTAAGTTGGTTTTATTACGTGAAATCCTAGAATAAATTATAACAAAAAAAATTGAGAGAATATAGAAATGATAAATAAATATAGAAATAATACAATTACAAAAAATTTATTAATTTTGAAAGGCATAAAAAAGGTGGCTCAAATTATGAAAAATAATAGAATTGAGGCCAAAGTATAATTAAGAAGGACTAGGGATTATAAATACCCCTATTTCTTTCTCCTTTAAAATTGGTAGCAGCACTAAAAAAAAGGGGGAGAATTTCATATCTTCTATCTAAATTGAGAGAAGGACAGAACAAAAATACAAGAAAATTTTGCAACTATAAATAAGTTGGTAAGAAAAAATATCACTTGACAAGAGAATGGGCAAGAAATAAGTGTAAAAATTGGGAAGAAAAGAGAGTGGGGGTTGGTTGCATACAAGAGAAAAGGGGCTAAAATTTCTCAGTCAATTAAGGAGTGGAATTTAGATTATCATCAAGTAAGGAATCATAAACTCAATCTTACAAATTAAGTTTAAATTCAGTTTGAAATTGTATAAATTTCTTGAATTGAACACAATTTAAAAAAAAATACAAATTTGTCTCGAATTGAATCAATTAAAGTGTTAAAGATTACCTTGGATGTGAAATGATGCAAGAATAACAAAGAAAAATGAATGGATCAAAGATACAAGGTGGCCAACCATTAGGTAAATAAATAAGAAGAGTAGAATTTATGATTTTCTTTGTCAAATTGCTTGGGATGTGTTGTTATATGGTAAAAAATAAGTAGAAAAAAGAAATTATCACATAGAGAGGAAAAGGGAAGGAGGAGTTTTGAAATTTCATATAATGATAATGAATGAGCTAGGTGTTATGAAAAGTTTACCACTAAAAAGACTAAGTAATTTTATGATATGAGAACTTGTAAATCAGTTTTGTAAGTTAGGTAGGGTAAAAAGAAATTTCTAGGCTATACATATGGCCTGAGGCATGTTTGAGGAACAATTATAAGATGAAGGAAATTATGGAAGTATAATAACATGCATATTCTTGAGGTTATCTTAAATCACCTTACAAAATTTATTAAATTAGCGTAATCAGCCTTAAGAGATCATAATGAGAAAGGTTACCATGTATATGGCATGGGTAGGGATGTATCAGAGGAGGAAATGGAGGATCGAAGATAATTAGAGATACATTTCACCCATTAACAAAAACTGGATCGATTCATTGTCTTGATTCCCGAGAGGATTCACGAAGATAATAGAATATGGTTGTAGTTTGAGATGTTAGCTTTCCAACGAGTTTGACCTTACTTAATTTGAAGCTCTAAATCTCCAGATATGAATTACAAATCTGAGGGGAGGTCGAGTTGCCACCGTTGTTGGCAGATTCGGTAAAATTGACAAAATAGAGAAATTAACCCACATCAAGGGTAAGAATCGATTTCCTTTCTTTCAAAAATTTATAGCTTCATTCCTTGACATTCATAAGGAAATAAATCGTACTCAAAATGGAATTTTATAATTGTCCATTAGGATTTGATGATGAATCATAATTTTAAGAGGTGTATTAGGAGCGTGAATGTAAGAGAAACAATTATATAAAAAAAAAAGAGTAAATGTTATCGTTATTGTTATTATTATTTTGAAAAATATAATTTGAATATGAAATAATGGGTTGTACTTGTGGATTTAAGAAAAACTGCAAAAGGAGTACACAACAACAACAAGGGAGCGCAAATCGAGCTTATGTGATAGGTAGGTAACCTATGCTCATACCATCCCTACATAATAGTGATTTTAGTAGTTTGTTTTAAATTATGAATCTTGTGCCTATAGAAGAGACCAATTAGAGAAAAGATAAAATGGAATAAATGGGAAATGAAAATTATATTTGAATTATGGATCCAATCAGGGATGATGAATTGTGGTAATGAATTTCACAAATAACCACTCCGTAGATTTGATTAGTTGGTCCCAAATATGGGAGGCTAATGATGTTAGTAAAGTTTGCTAACATCGGTATACCTATTACAGGGGATAAGGGATGTTGAATTGATTAATTATTTGGGTTGAGAATAATTAATGATATTGACGGGTGACGTTGATATTGGCAAATTCATGAAACTTAATTAACTTTCCTGATGTGAAAGCTAATGATGTCAAGGATTCTTGACATTGGCATTTCTGACAATACTTCAAGGTGGTATGGAACACATTTCAATTTAGAAATAGTTAATGATATCAACAAGTTATGTTGATGTTAGCATTCCTAAAGATTAGATTAGTCAATCCCTAAATGGGTGACTAAAGACACTAATGAGAGTTATTATAGTTGATAATGACCTTTTTGGGTTTGGGAAGAAGCAATACTATTGGTATTCTTGATGAAAAAGAAAATGTGATATATATTTGTGAATAATTATAAAATGAAAAGGTTGAACGGTTTCGAGAATGATGAATAAGTATGTATTGATGAAAAATTAATCAAGAGTTTTCAAAGTAGTATGATGACATACTGTTGATTATATGTTTAATTATATGTACATGTATTGTATGATTTTTCCTTCTCTTCTATACTTATCCTTACTATATTATTTTAGAAACTATGAAATTACTGGTCTTTCTCACCCACACCAGAAGTAACATTTAGATATTTTAGTTCTTTTTTGTATAAATCAAGAATCTAAGAAAATATCTATGTATTTTGTTTTCTTTTAATAACTAAGTAACTTAAACTGTAATAGTATTTTCTTTATATTAGATATTGTCATATAAAATTATACTATTTTATTTTTGAAATCCTGATGTTTGCATGTCCTCTTCACTTGTTAAATTATGCATATTTAAATGTCAAAGAAAATGAGTAAATGCTATATGTACATTAATAAATGAATTGTTGAGTTGAACATTAATGCAATTGTGATGCGATTAAGAAATGACTATAAGATGAGTACAAGATGATTAGACAATAACTTGGAACCTTTCGGTATAGGAGAGATTCTGCCAAAATTTTGTTAGAAATTTCAAAGATTCCTATATAAGTTCAACAAGAAAAAAAATTTCCCATGCTTCTTTTTTCCCTTTATAGAAATGATATAATGATTTCGCTAACAGGATTGTTACACAATAAATCTTAATAAAACAATTTTGATTCAATCAATACTTGATAGCGTTTTATTAATATTTTCAAATTTGTCTAATTTAAAGAATGGATATATGATTATCTGTAATAAAAATTTAAAAATAAGCATCAAAATAGTATTTTGGCATAGACAAGGAAAAAAATAAAGTTTTTTTTATAATAAAATAACTTAATTTTCAAGATATTATATAATGGTGAGGGTTCGCCTTGAACTCAAAACCAATCATTCAATGGTAGATTTTGGTCAGGGTTTGCCTAAATCCACCATATATTTGGTGCATGTTTAACACATCAAGATGACTTGTTCAAAAAAAAAAACAAGAAGAAGCTAAGTGCGTGCGCTTGGACTTCCAAGCTCATGCATGTTAAAGTCTTTTTTCTTAGGCTAACTGCATGGCTTGTTTTTCTAAAGCACTCCTAGCCTCTTTATTTTTAAGTAGTTCTTAACAATTTCTTTCAAATGGAACAAAAAAAATTTTAAATAAATTTATTAAAATGATAGTTAAAGAATTATTCAATTATACTATAGTTTTTAGAAGATTTGAGCATTTTATTGTAATATTAACAACTACTTTATAAATAAATTTATATTAATCTAATGTTCGGTTTTTCTTAAAAAACAAAATATTTTGCGTGAATGTTTAAAAAAACATGAAATATCTTTTTTATATATTTATTGTTTTTATATTTTTTTTATATTTGCATAAAAATAATTTATTCATGATTTTTTTATTTCAACTTGTTTTCATGATTATTATAAGTTTTTATTTAAAAAAAATATTTTTTTACCAAAAATATTTTTTATCATAAAAAAATAAATACATGAACAAGAAAATTGAGTTTTTAATTAAAAATAACTTTTTCCTCATTTATTCAAATCATTAAAAAAATTACAATTTTTTTTTAATTTCCATTACTTTTTATTCAGTAAAATATAAATCATGTTGCTAATAAAAGATGCATGTTATTATCATAAAAAAAAATATTACATGAATAAGGAAAGATAATCTTGACTGAAAAAACATTTTCTTTATAATTTTATTCGATTTTTTTATAATTATCTATTTTAATTTTATGAAATAAAAATAAATTGTGAAAAGTGCACAAGCATGTAACTAGAGATAACTAATATTTTAAATTGCACAATAATTTGGTTTTAACCAGAGATAACCTTGTTATTATGAAGTAGCTATCCATGGCACAAGCCTACTATTTTACAAGTTATACTATATTTTAAAAGATTTTAGAAAAATATTATGCATGTATTGTAGATATAAACTTATTATAATATGAGTCATATTGTAGACATATAATATTTGCATTGTAATGTTATAAAAGGTGTTATAGAGGTGTTGTCTTTTTTGTTTTTGAGTCTAAAAGTGTTGTTAGGTTTGGTTTGATCACCAGAAGAAAAAACATTATGAAGGTATTGTATACATAGAATGTTTGTATTATGGATCACACTATAAAAATACAATATTTGCATTGTGAAAGATACTACAACACTAAAGAGCAATGTCTTTACTATTTTTTAGTCAAAAAGTGTTATTGAGTCTAGCTGAGCAATTTTATCCAATGCTCTTAAGTCTAGTTATGTAGCCA